ACCCCGCCCTGGAGCTCAGCACCAGAGCTCACTGCCAGCTTGCTCCTGGCCTCCACACAAATTCTTGACACAGTAGGTCAAGCCCTCTTATGTCAAGCCAGCCACAGGTCACATAACTCAGCCGACCTTGAAACTAAGCGTGAAGTGTGAGGCTTGCTCACTTTGACCAGTGGATGAACCCAGCTTCAGCTTTTGAAAAGCTGCGTGAGCAAAGCTGAAGCAGCAGCCTGGAGGAGGCTGCCGTCATCTTAGCTCGAGTGGGTGTCCAGGCAGCCAAGCGAAGTCTGGTCTTCCTGTCTCCTCAGCCAGGTTCCAGCAGTAGGGTGGACAGTCGGGCCCTCAGGTCCTTCCACGGACCTTCTGGCTCCTTCGTCCTCGCTGGCACCTGCCCGTCCCTGTGTGTCCTGACACTGCAGAGTGTACTACGTACTTTCAGGTGATGTGGCTGAGACCGGACAGAATGCGAAGTCCCTAACTCTGCAATGGTCCGCGATGCTGCCCTCTCCCCGGTGGCCTGCCAGGTGCTGGGCACAGCATGGCTGCTTTGGGCATATTGGTTGCAGGGAGTTGACTTCCCCCGAGGTAAGGGTACAGGTGGGACACCGAGTGATGTATGTGCCTGCAGAGGGGCCTGTCATTCCTGTTGGAGTCCCAGACTCTCAGGGCTTTTAAGTCCTGACCAGGGACTTCTTTTTTGAATAAGTGACGGTATTGATTCCAGAGCCTTTGCTCAATATTAATTGGTGGATTAACGAGTGAGGCCTGATTTACAGTCACTGCCAGGAGAGGAAAGACTGCTGGGGACCAGCCACCTTTTGTGAGGGAGACGGACCTCAAGGCCTCTGTGTCCCCCGCCCTCCCCAAACCCCTTGTCAGCACAAACCTGCATCCCCGACTCTGCCCATGGTGCTGCCGGTCCCTGACGCCTGAGGGCCAGGCGGCCTCTCCTCTCCCACACCCCACAGCCCCTGTCCCTTTACCCTCTGTCCCCACGCCACCTACCACACTGCGTGTCACTGAGCACTGCACCCTCATCCTGGTCCCACCCCTGGCCGCCTTCTGGGGCATCTGTGGGAACCACCCCGCTCTGACAATGGGCAGTTTCACAGCCACTGTGAGGGCAGCAGGCTGATCTCCGGGGGTCTGAATGCCCATCCCAGCCTCAGCCACTGAATGAACTCAGCGGAAGCAGTGGTTTCACAGAAGCATTTATTATGCAGAGGGCGAGGCTGTAGCAGACAGACCAGCATCAGCTAACCCAGCGGAGCAGAGGGTTCCTTCCAGCCGTCCTCTGGGGCTTACAGGCCCAGGTGCTGTGAGGTCTTCCCGCAAGGCCTTCACAGTGGTGGGTTTGTCCTGAACTTGGTGTGACATGAACAAGTGCCCGGGAAGCAGGCAGCCTTGACCTGCTCAGGCTCCCTGCTTGGTCCACTGCACTTCACACCAGCTTGCTTTATGGCCTGTCTCCCGTGAGAACTTGAGCTCCTCCAAGACAAGTGCGAGTGTGTTCACCTCTCAGGCCCCACAGTGTCTGGCACCCAGACAACCATGTGGAAGGGACTCCCCTGAGGGAGGCCTGTGCTGCCGGGTTCTGGAACCTCCACATGCCCCCCTCCCCGCTACATGTCTGCCACCTCTGGCTGCTGCAGACGCAGGGGCTCTGCCATGCGTGTCCCTCGCCCAGACCTCCTTCGGCCCAATGGTAAGCTACCGAGCAGTGAGGGGACTGTTGACACAGAAGCCAAATTTACAGCAGGAGAAAGCCACTGGGGTACTGACATCAGAGCAGACTGATGGACGGTACTGACGTCTGGGGTTCCTCCGGGACCTTACAAAGCAAACTTAACAGCTCGGCCATGAGGGGTGTGCTGCCCCAGGTAAGAGCCCCAGACAGGCTCCTGGGGGGACAGGCCCCGGTCCGGGGATGCATTCTCTCACAGTGTGCAAGGGGGACATTCTGTGAGTGACTGTTTGGGACTAGATGGGACCAAATGGGACAATGTGAAGCACCCTCTTCCAATAGAGGAGGACTTTAGTGGTGAGAAATAGGAGTGAACTGGGCTGTAAATGCTTTTTCCTGGGCCTTGTACAATCTGGACATCTGCAGGTCTCCCTGTGGGCACTGGTTCCCGAGCTGCTAGCGAGGGGGCAGCGTCTGCATGTGGAGAGCGTCGTAGGTGTCCTTGGTGGCCATGCTGAGCCCCTGGTGACAGGAGATTGGAAAGGACAGTGGGTCAGAAGCCCCACCTGGGCACGAGCCTACCAGAGGCCAATAGGTGTCCTCAGCATGGCCTGTGACCAACCTCCGCTCCCCCCCGCCCCCACTTCCAGGGGCCCAGGAACAACCCCTGTCACCCACCAGGAGACAGGTTCTGTCCCCACTGGGCATGGCCTGGGGCAGTTCCTTTCCTGTAAACTCTCACTGGTTCCCAGGTGCTGGGCCCTACAGCACTTGTACCCAGCCAGCCTCCTGTCAACCAGAGACTGTCACAGGAAGATTGGCTCTCCCCAGGCCACCCCACTACAGCCCTCGCTCCAGCAGACAGCAGCAGCCACATGGCCATGCTCGGGGCCTGGTGATATCACTCTGAACTCAGGCAAGTGAGTGGACTGCAGGTTGGAGTCAGTGGAGGGAACAGCCAGGAAGAGGCCAGGGAGGCCCTGGGCAGGCTGTGCTCGCTGGCGTCCTTGCCCCACGATTCGCATAAGCCAGGCCACAGGCCACAACATTTCCTTTTCACACTTGTGACTTTCCTTGATTTTTTTCCCCTTCAGTCTTCCTGCTCTTCCTGCCATCTTACTAGGTCTGAAGCTATAAGGCAGAGCCAGGCTCCTGCAGGGCCCACAGCAGTGGAGGGAGAGGCCCACGAGCTGTGTGGGGTCCTTTGGGCCAGATGGCACAGCCCTAGGCAGTGGCTGCTCAGCTCAGGGGCCAGTGCCTGGGGATCCCCCACTACCCCCCCTTGGAACCCAGTCATGTGCCTGAATAACTGAACCCCGGCCCCATGGTGGGGCTGACTAGCCTGAAGATGGCCCCAGCTCGCCCTGCCTGGTTTTTGGCAAGAGCACGTGGGAGCTGACCCCTCTGGTTAGGCAGCGCCACTGGGGAGGGGGGCCAGCAGCATGGACAGAGCACAGGCACCCCTCTTACCTGGTAAAGGCCGTCCTGCCCCTTGCCTCTCCGGCGCTGGTTCTGTGGAAGAGACGAGAGAGGGGTCCAGGTCAGGCAGCCTACAGTGGTCTTCCTGCTCACTCAAGGGGCCCCAGAGTCAGAGGTGGCTGTCTCCTGGCCAGCACCCCTGCCCCTGGGAGATAAGGGGCTGCAGGCAGCGGTCAGACCTCAGCCTCTGCAGCGTGAGGTGAGGCCTGGCTCTGGCAGGCCCGGGTTTGCTCTGCTCAGATCCATGCAGATTCCTGGGTCCAGGCTGCACACACGGAGCTGCAGCATTGCCTGCTGCTGGATGAACGGGCCTCCCTGAAACCCACGTCATTCCTGGCTGGTTGTAGAGCTGCTGGGAACAGCAGCTCCATGTGGTCACGAGCTCTGGCTGCAGAGTCTGTTCAAGTTCTTAGTCATCTATGACAAGGGGCCGCAGTCCCGAGCACCGGACCCGTCGGCACGCATAGCACTTGTTATCATTGTCACACAAGGTAACAGATTTGAGCTGCTCTGGCAAAGCTTAGGCTGTCCTAAAATCCGGGCTTGGTTTTAAATCCCAAAGAGCATCAGCCCTTGGTCCCTTCTATGCAGCCTGATGGGTAGGACCTGGGCTAACCTTCGCCTCTGTGGTCACCACATGGCTTTTGCAGGTGCTATGAGGGGATGGGATGGAAGCCCAGGCAAGCGTGTGCAGAAGACATGAGGATCTTCTTGGGAGCACCCCCTCAATCTCGGCAGTTAAGGAAGAGCAGCACTCACCTCACCCTTCACCGCGATCTCGCTGTAGGGGTCTGCCATCTTCTCTCTCTGCAGCGGCTGGGGGGCACAGGGGATACGGCTCACCAACTAAGGCAGATTGCAGCTCCCTCCCGAGTTGGTGTGTGGGGGGGTGGAGGTGGCCCAGGCCACCAGCCAACTCCAGTCCAACCTCCTCCTCAGCCCTTAGGACTCACTCCTCTGAGCTGCCAGCCCTTGGCCCTGAGCTGGGAAGCTCCGTGAGGCTCAGAAAAATAAGAGGTGGCCTTCTAGCCAAAGGCCACGAACACTGGACGATGCAGGGCTCACCAGGGGCCCTGGAATCACGTAGTTGAGCAAGTTGTCAACCAACCACAGAGGGAAGGAAAGGCAACTCTTTCCAGGAGGTTAGTCTGGCAAGGGTCCCCTTCACAGCAGACCCAGACCAATGTCAGGCCTGCACCCGCAATGGTGAGGTTGACCAGTCCGTGAGAGGAGACAGTCAGGAGGAGACTCCAGCCCCTGGGAACAGGAGCCCCTCCTAGGGGGCTGGCCCAGCCTGACCTGGAGGCGCCCAGCCCCACCAGGATCCACAGCAGCAGCTTGGGCTGAGGGACTGCAGGCCCGAGAGCAGCTTCCTACAAACAGCTGCAGGCATCACAGGTCCCAGGGAGTGACTTCCGGACAGGGGACAGGACCAGGGGTGTGGAGTGAAGCCTTGAGGACCCTCCTCCAGCTCTCTCCTTCCCACCCACTTTCTGAGGGACACGCCCCTCTACTCACATTGTACAGGCCTTCCTGCTGGTTCTTCCTTCTCTGTAGGGAGAGAGAGGAGGGGTCAGAGGTAGAGAAGCACCCCATCACCTTCTGTGGGCTCCGCAGCATTGCCTGGGGATGTGGGGCCTTCACAGCTGAGGGATGTGTCTGCCAGTGGCCTGTCTGTCCCCTGGCAGATACACCGGCCCCGTGTCACAAGCTTACAGGTGGGATTTTTGCTGAAGATGAAAGGTCATTTGGAGCATGGCCAGCCACTGCTCAGCAGGTCCTACTGGCCCATCCTTCCCACCCTTCCTCGTTCAGGTAAAGGGAGGAGAGAAAGGCTGAGGTTGGAGGGTTGGGGGGAGTGAAGAAAACCAATGGTCTCCCCCCACCCCCCAGCTACCACTCACTCTAACAATAGCACCTCCTACACCAGGGGTGGGGAACGTATATGGCCCATGAAATCATTTGATCTGGCCCTGCCAAAGCAATTGCAGGCTGGACTTGAAATTCAATAAATGTAGGAGCTTTCTTCAGTTAATTTTTAAGTTGATAACTTTGTATGGCCCGAGAATGATGTTATACATATCCAAATGGCCCTTGGCAGAAAAAAGATTCCCCACCCTTGCCCTACATGGAGCTCAGAGGGCCTGGGTGAGTGGGGGGAGGTTTGCTACATAGACGGACGTGACTGAAAAGGTCAAGGGCCACTGGTGGTGACAGGCAGGACTGCCCTGGCCTCATCCAGCTTCTCCCCTGGCACAGGGTGCTGTGTCTACAGCCAGGGCACAGTGACACCTGGCGACCATGCTCACAGGCGTACCTGGGGCCCAGAATCCCGAGTCCAGTGGCCCTGGGCCCTTCCTGTGTGTGCCTCACCAGGTCTGTCCTCCTGGGGCAAATGGTGCCACAGTGAGTGCCTCTTAGGGCAGCCATGGGGCAGCCTGAGGGGGAGGGAGCTTGCACAGGAGGCTTTGCTGCACTCATGCTAGAGGCCCCTGTGATGCCGCCGGGCCGGGGAAGGAAGGGAGCAGGCAGCAGGAAGTGGGCCTCCATGTCCTCCGCCAGGCCCCTCACACTTTGGGTCGGTAAGGCCCAGCGCAGGGGCAGAGCGCGCTGGCTCTGAAGGGCCCCTCCTCCACGCCCCGCCCCACCCACCCGGCCCCCAC